TTGAAGATGGCGGTCCGGGGCTGCCGCCCAGCTTCCCCACCCCTAGGACCGGCTCTAAGGCGACCAAACCAGGCATAGCAGGGATGCAGACTTAGGAGAGCTGGGGGAGGTCTTAGCCTCACTCACTCATGTGCCTACCACCCTCCCCCCAGGCATGCAGCGGAACAGTGGGCATGCAGGGCACACGCCAGAGTGGTGGGGACCAAGGTGCCAGGCTCTGCTTTCCCCGAGTTAGAGGCTTTGTCCTGGCTTTCCCGTGCCACTGGCTGGTGCCCTCTCAGGGATGCAGACTTAGGAGAGCTGGGGGAGGTCTTAGCCTCACTCACTCATGTGCCTACCACCCTCCCCCCAGGCATGCAGCGGAACAGTGGGCATGCAGGGCACACGCCAGAGTGGTGGGGACCAAGGTGCCAGGCTCTGCTTTCCCCGAGTTAGAGGCTTTGTCCTGGCTTTCCCGTGCCACTGGCTGGTGCCCTCTCGGCTGGGCTGAGTTGCTGGGGCCAGCCTTGGCTTCCCTGTGCACTGGAATGAAAACAAATGCCAAAACTTTCCGCTCAGCGCAGCCTGTTTCCCGGCTGGCCCTGGCACCGCAGCGGCACAATCAGCTGTATCCGGCCAGGAGGGGGGAGGCCCAGCTGGTGAGAGTGGGCGGCATGAACTGGGAGCAGCAGAGCCACAGGGTCGGTCCCTGTCCTACAGCCTCCTTGGCTGGGCACGAGCAGCTGGCCAGCACAGCCCCCAGGGCCAGCCTGGGCTAGGATGCAGGCCCGGCGGGTGTTACCAGCACGGGTCACAGTGTGCTGGACTGAGCCACAGCCTGTGTTGCAGGGATCCCCTGCTGCCCGCAGGGCTGGGTGGAGTTCCAGAAGAAATGCTACTTTTTGTCCCCCAAGAAGACCTTCTGGGTTGCAGCTCAGAACTCCTGCATCAGCTACAGCGCACACCTGGCTGTCATCCGCAACCAGTGGGAGCAGGTGGGTCCCCTGCTCCTGCCCTGGGAAAGATCCAGGACCAGGCCATATGCCTGGGATCCTCCTCCTCCCAGCCCAGGCTGTACTCTTATCCCCACGCTTGCCCTCAGCTGCCCCCTCCTGCTGGGCCCACTCACGGCAAGGGTTACCAGGTGGCTTAAAATAAAATACCAGACACACTTGATCTCAGATGCAGGGGGGGAACCGGCTGGGAGGGGATCGGGGCTAGCCAGGAGGAAGTCCGGGGGAGGGGAGCTGGCTGAGGGAGATTGGAGCAGAGGGAGAACTGGCC